CTCTGTACTAGATGAGAAATTGGTCTTTATATAGTTTCTACGTTCTGCGGACTCATAGCTTATGTTGTAAGAAATGGTAGTAAGAAGGTGGAACATTTGGAGATTTGAGGGCACGGGAAATAAGAAACTTTAAGCTTAAAGAAATTTAAAGCTTATTCACCGCTCTTTCTAGCTCTGGCTTTTCTTTCACTGAAAGAGTATGGCATTTATTCCAGAGGGAGTAAGCCTACCCTACCCCAGCCAACAGAGACACAGGGCCCCAACAAGTATACCTGTGGGGAGGGGAAGGATTTGATTGTCACATCAGAGAACGTGGGAGAGCTTTTCCCCTCTTGGCCCCGTTTCTAAACTAGGATGCTTCTGTTTGCTTTGTGTGCTGTTGAGTTTTCCCTCTGTTTTCTCTAAGCTAAGCTTTAAGCTAATTCTGTACAAAAGAAATACTAATTAGTTGTTTTTATAAATTGCTTGCCATTAATGCCTGATAAAATGCAGTAAAATAAGGATTCTGCATACCATTATATATGTCAAATATTACAAACTTTAAGGTTCTTTTGAAATTACAATACTAAACTCAGTTCACTTTTGCTTAGCCTTCACAGTTGTTGATCACATAGCATGGTCATCCACTCACAGCTTAAAAAAATACAGGGAGCATCGGAGAGAATGGGTAAAGTAAAATTTTGATGTTTTTAAAAATAGCACCTAAATCTATGAAAATTGATTTGATTTATTGTTGGTATGGGAGGGAGAGGGTGGTTGGCACTGGAAGGGAGGGGGTGGATATTGGGGAAATAGCATGCACCATGTAAAATGATGTTAGATACCATATAGGCTAAAATTTTAAGTGTTACTATTGCAGTTTAAATGCAAGTCTGTTTCAGAAGAGGCAGGACCATACAGTGGCAATGTTGGGATTTACAGTGGGCCTAGCTTTTTCTCCCTACAGATTGAAGGGGATTTTGAGAATAGCAGCTTTTGAGTAGTTTGGACAGAAGTCGCCTTTTTAGAGTGACCTGTCCATATTCCCTGAGTGAAGCTGCTTTGGTAGCACCTCAGGTTCCATTAATGTTACTGAGGAACATTGTTTAAGAGGAACAACGTGCATTCTAGTTTTTATTGTACACCTGTGACTTAGTTGTTCCTAAATATAGGTTAGGATTCATGAAGCCCTTGAGGGGGTTGAGGAACAGAGAGGTTACTCTGAAGTTAGTTGTTTGGTAGAAAAAATAGAAATTTTGGTGCTTCCTTTCAAATGAAGAACATTTTTTCTTTCAGAGTTCTAAATCAAGGTTTTAATCTCAATCCTTACCATTGTAGTTATTTACAAACCCTAATTAATTAGCATCGTGGAAGTTATAGAGAAGAGAGTCTGCCATGTTTTTATGGGTAGGGCATTTTGTTGTAAATTGTGTTAACTTGGTCTGATCTCTGCCTTATTATTTTTAAGCTTTTTCTTTGTTTACACATGTAAAATCTGGGGAAGAAATTAAAGAAACAAGGTTTTACCCTAAAAATATTCTTGCCCCAACTTTGCTATTCCCCTACGTGAAACCATTTGCCAAAGCCAGATATGATTTCCCAAACCTTCCTGCCTGCCTTTGTCAAAGATGCTATGCCAGTTTGGAACGCTCTTCTTTGCCCATTCTTTTGGTCTAAGTCCTATCTTTCCTTCAAATAATGACTTCTAGCTATTGCACAAAGCCTCTAACCTCTTCAGTCCTTCTGGTCATTGTAGTCTTAGAATTCCTGAAGTACTCCTGTTTGATAGTATTCCATCCATTATAGACATTCATTTGGCACTTGGATCATGCCCTTTTTGTTGTTACTGTATTTAAATACCCTCTTTTCTCTAGGAAAGTGATAGGCTCCTTGAGGGTAGAGAGCTTGTCTTAATTAAATGCCTCTTTGTAAACCCATTGCCTGGCACAGAGGATATCTTCAGGAGTTGGCTTGATTCTTTGATTTGGATCCAGTATTAGTGTAATGGGGCAGTTGTTTAACTTAGGTTATTTTTATAGTGAATACATACCCAGAAACCCCAAAGATAAAGCACATTTGAAGTACATTTGATTAATAAAATAATTTCTTGTAAGGAGATTTGGTTCATATTTGTTCCTTATTAATTACAGCCCCTCTCCCCACCTTTGTTTTTCAGTGAGTGCTGTTTTACCTAGTTTCTTTTGAAAAACATGGTTTGGGCCAGATATATTGACAGAAATCAAAATTGCTAGTATTTTTATTTTAAAATTCTTTGATTAGTCAGATGATACTTTCATGGTATAAGCCCAAATAAATTTATTAAATACTACATGGTAATATAGCCAAATTATCTTAGAATGTTAAGCTTAAGGTCTCAAGTGAAATTTTAAAAATACCAGTAGACAGATACTCAGTTCCTAATCCTTTTCATTTCTGTATCTCAAATTATTAGGAATTTTATTATTTCTTTGTTCATAAAGATTACTGTGCAAGCTGATGTTTGATAACTGTGTTTATTGTGTTTGCTGCAGTTATCAAATAGAGCAGACATTTATATGCAGTGAAGAATTAATTAAAAATACTTTTTGGTGTTTATAGAAAGTGACACTTTTTTTTAGTATCCCCAAACTCATTTGGGATAATTTTAATTCATATTTGAAACTGTTTACATTTTATCTGATAGCAGTGTCTTCAAGGCACATATGTTAATATTGGATTTATGTTGTGATTTCTTATAAAATGCTTAACTAGTAAAACTAAAATCTTAATTTTACTCTGAAGCTTGGCTTAAAATATTCTTGAGCCATTAGTTTGACAAAGCACTGAAACGATACTGCTGTTGCATTACTGAAAAGCTTAGATAATTGTGGCAGGGGACTTCTAGAATATAAGTTTTTTTCCTCTTCAAAAATTTATGTTTAAATTTCTTAGCATAATTTGAGTACAGATTTAAGGTAAAATATTTTTTTCTTACATGTGAGGAAGCAAAAAGCCTCTAATAACGGCATTGCCATTCTGATGTGAGCTCATCGGAGTACCAGTCTGACATGAGCTTAAGGCCCTGATCAGTCTTGATGAAATTCACTTTATAAAAATTTTTTTTTCTAAAACCCAGTTGCCCCAGGGACCACTTTACAGAGCTCCAGCCTTGGACTTTTAGCTATGATCAGTCATATTCTTCTCTAGGGTTTATACTTGTTAAGTCAAAACACAGAAAACACCCCCCCACCAGCCCTGATTTTGTTCACTTTTGTTTTCATATACAAGAATCTTTACAGTCAACATGTACTTCTAGATGCTGTATTGAAATTGCTGGCAGAGTCTATTCTATACAAACTGAACAATCTGGCCCCTTGTTTTATTTGTAAAGGTTCAATGTATCTATGCCTGCCTACTTCAATCTGCAAGGGAGTGTCAGAAAGGCCCCGCATTCGCCGAGCCGTGAGTTATCACTAACTTTTCAGATGTGTTAATGAATGTGGAACAAAAAGCAGTTGTGTTTAAAAGGAAAAAAGGACCATCAAAATAACCTTTATTATAGTAGCAGGCGTGAACACTAAATGAATTACTCCAAATTGTGGTGTCAAAAATAACATACTTTAACTAGAGACTAGCCTCTAGAAAACCTATTGTTGAACTGCTCTGAAGCTGTTGTTTTAGCGATGTTACTGTTCTTAAAGTTTTATAAACCATGATTGCAAATTAATGTGTTCTTTAAGTCTTTTTAACTAAGTTAAAACAATCTGAACAAAATCTTACCCCACCTAAAAATGATAGTATTTAATTGACTTTGAGTTAAGCTCTTTAAAATAATACCATGTGAAAGGGGTAAAGTTTTAACCTTTTTTGTTACTCACATGTGAAAAACAAATTAAACAGCTGAATCTCTTCCTCGATGAAAGTTTTAGTACAGTGTTATACACAGTCTGTTTTGGTGCCAACAGTTCTTGCTTCAGTAATTCACCAGTAGGTTTTCATTCATCAATGACTATGTCAATTTAAGGCTAAAAATAAAACACTTTCATTTCCTAGGGCTTAATCAGTCTCCTTAGAGGAAACCATCCTTAAGAGTTACCCCTTCCCAAAGAGATTTGAACCAAAAAAAATTCGTAACTAACATCTATTTTTTTGTTGTTGTTATTAGAGATAGTTACCTTTCTTTTTCTTAGATTCTTTCAAGTTTTGAGTAGATAGGCATATTTGACTAGCAGGTTGGAAGCTTCTGTTGCTTAGGAGGTGTATTGTGTTAAATGAAGACAGAATAAATTTAAATGTACACAGTTTGGCCATTTATAGCACAGACTACCTAAAACTTGGAGGTATGGAACCTTTGGAGCCATTAAGTTAAATGTTTCATTTAGGCAATGTGCCTTTGTCTGACTGGTGTGTAAGTCCTTCTTCCAGGTTTGTACACTCTTAAACACGTCATTCTACCCTCTCTAACTCCTCCCAGCAGCAAAAGGGAGACACTTCAGCTGGAACAAAATAGTGGAAGAAATGGCGTCTGGGGTTCAGTGGGGATTCGCAGTGTGTATGCAATGTTTGCAAGATTACTTTTTATGTTTTTCAATTAATGTAAATAATTACAGAATAAATCAGTGCTTAGTGTCAACATAGGGAACATCGTATACCAATAGAGATTCTCCTAGTGGGTCTGCTGCAAGTTGTTTAACCTCTTGGGTCCTCAGTTTTCTCATCTGCAGTATAAAGGAGTTGGACTCAATAATCTTTAAGGTCCATTCCTGCTCTAAATCCTGTGCTTTTCTGAAGTACTCTGTTTAACAGAATGCATTGCTTTCCCACTTTGACTGTTTGAATTACATGTGCAGTACACGTACTGCAACTGCATGTTGTCTAAAATAGTTTTTCTATAGGATATTATATAAACTAACCCCTCTTGAGGTGATTTATAAATGTGTGTATATAGCCACACATGAAAAGCTAGTGTTGGTAGAGCTCTTAGAAAATACATGTTTTCCAAGTGTCTAACCTTGAATGTCATTAACTTTCCTCTATTACAGGAGACACTACTCGTCAGCGAATCAAATTCAGTGATGACAGAGTGTGCAAGAGCCACCTTCTCAACTGTTGCCCCCACGATGTCCTGTCTGGGACTGTATGTATTTGTTAAACCTATTGTTTTATTGTTGGTGTACTACAAAAACAAACTACTTGATAAAGTCTTAGTTTTGTGTCAAATTATTATGCAGTGATTTTATTTAAAAAACACTTGTTAGCAGAGCAATATACATCCATTATATTCAGGTTGATTATTTAGTTCTGCAATAATGGGATTCCTCACAGAAATTATTGCTATTTTATTTTATAATATTTTTCATTCTTTAGAGCATTTATTTGGAACAAAGAGGCAGTTATAATACAGCAGTTACATTTTTAGTTTAGAAATAATGTAAATGATTTTTTAAATAGTTTGCTTCAGTGTTGAGCATAGTAGACTTTTATCCAAAACAGTTTACATTTTCATTAAGATTTCTGCACATTTGTATTGTAGAGATTATTGTGAAGCAATATGTTGGTAATTACTTAAATTCACAGTAAAGTTTGTGAGTAGTGTTGGTTAAAACTCACTTATATTGCTTACTCCTGATAATACATAAAGCTCACTTAATTTATGTTCTATATCTAATGATGTTAGTTTACCTTAAAGTATTATTATTTTTAATTTGGTGGATAAATCGCATGATTATGGACCTTTAGAACAAAGGATTTGGTTACCTGGGTTTTGGATTTGATTGAAATGATACTTTCAAGAGCTCCTGGTCACAGGGATAGCAGAGGAGGGCTGGTAGGGCCTAAATAGCTGACTTTTTCATTTTTCTAAAATGAAAGGATTTCATACTTCATTTGCAGCAGCAGTGAGGTCCCTTAATTAAAGATGTCTAAATGAATGGTTTCTTCTGCCGTAAGACGTGGGATGTTAGTTCCCTGATGAGGGATGAGACCCACATTCCCTGCAGTGGAAATGTGGAGTCTTGATGAGTGGTGTCTTTTTGATAGGAAGAGTAAAATACCTTAAATGTACAGGTATCCAGGCATTTTTTATTAAAAAAAAAAAAAAACCTGTCTTTTGGGGGCTTCCCTGATAGCTCAGTAGGTAAAGAATCCACCTGCAGTTCAGGAGACCCAGTTTGATTCCTGGGTCAGGAAGATCCGCTGGCGAAGGGATAGGCTACCCACTCCAGTTTTCTTGGGCTTCCCCTGTGGCTCAGCTGATAAAGAATCTGCCTGCAATGTGGGACACCTGGGTTCGATCCTTGGGTTGGGAAGATCCCCTGGAGAAGGGAAAGGCTACCCACTCTAGTATTCTGACTACCACTAGCCACTCCAGTATTTTGGTCTTCCCTGTAGCTCAAACGATAAAGAATCTGCCTGCAGTGCAGGAGACCTGGTTTCGATCCCTGGGTCAGGAAGGTCCTCTGAAGGGAATGGCAGTCCTCTCCAGTATTCTTGCCTGGAGAATCTCATGGACAAGAGGAGCCTGGCGGGCTACGGTCCATGGGGTCCCAAAGAGGCGGACATGACCGAGCGGCTAACACTACTACACTTGTCTTTTTCTAGTAGGAAAGACCATTGAAACTATGTTATATAAGTTAAAAGGAGTAGAAGTGCTAACATTTTAAAAATATATAAATACTTAAGTTTTTTTAAAGTATCAGTATATTACAGGGCAAGCATGCTGGTTTCTCAGTGCTTGAATTAGGACTGTGACAGATATCTCTATTAGACCTTCATATCTACTCTTTAGAATTTGCATAATTAAAATATTCTGCTCTGCTGTAATATGATTGAAATCTATTTTATCTGTGGTGGTATTTGATTCTTCACATTTACTGTTTTAACACTTAATGATACTTATGGATAAATTATCACTTCAAATGAATTTGTGAACAAGATTAGTTGATAAGTGGCAGAATTTAAGTTTTTGGTACTTTAAAACCAGCAATAGCAAGACTGACATATTATTACATTCTTCAAGTATAGCATTTAATAATTAAAAAATCTGACATCACAGTTGTGCTTTTGCATTTTATAATTATATAATTCAGTTATACCCATTTATTTCTATGTTGGGTAAAACAATTTGTTGAGTATATGTTCCATAGTTAGCCTTAATGATAGTGAAGTGATTAATTCAAAATCATTCAGTTCTGTTGATTTAAAGTAAAACTGGGACCAAAGCCAAATTTTCTGAGCTCTAGTTTTATTCACTATGTCTTACACTCTGTAGGTAATACTTAATCCTTCATCATGTTGATGTTAGACTTTCATTGTAAAATTCTTGCTGGTGGATTTATCTCTGTAATGTGCATCTTAAAATTGATGATAGAAAACTACTTTAATTTGTAACATTTTTCTTACAGTGAGGCTTAAAATTGGCGTTTTGAATCACATGAAAAATAGTGAATGACCTTCAAAAGGCACTTGTTAGGGAAATTCTATATGAGACATCTCTTCTTTATGTCAGTTTAATAGGCAAGAGATTGTCATTTATGTAAGGATGTAGTTAAGTTCTTATGAGCCTCTTAAGCAAAATTTTCAGGGCTGGCTCTAGAATTTTGTTAACAGTCCAGGGTTGCCTAGAGTGGTGAACTTGAAACCACCCATGAGTGATTGTCTCATGACCCTTACTATAATACTAAAAAGGACTGTTTATAGCACTTTATTCTATGTATATGTGGTTTTTAATTACAGAGCTCTGACTTCTTTAGCAACCAATCTCTATAGGACTCATGCTTTTCTGGCACAGAATCTAATAGTTCACATCTCTGTATGTTGAAGATATTTTTTTGACCTCTTGGATCAAAGATGAAAAGAACCGAATTGTAACTGTTGATTTAATAGTGCTTTTTGTTTGTTTTATAACTAAAAGTTGCCTTTAGTTTTCCAGACCTTGTTCCTCAGATCTGTCACTTCCAGCAGAATATGACTCATCAGTGGTCTAGATTATTTAGCAGAAGATAACACGGAAATATATTCTCTGGCTTTTCTTTATTATTATAAAAAGGTTGAACTTTATACTGAGTACTTGGATATAAAGGGTATGGTTTCTGAAAATATACTCATAACTGACAATTTGAAATATTTTTGAAATTCACTTTGATGAAAATGCCCCTGTAGCATTGTACTTTTCTTTAGTCTGGTACTTTGGTATAACTTTTTTTTTTGAGTATAGTTGATTTACAAAGTTGTATTAGTTTCAGGTATACAGCAGAGAGATTCAGTGTTTTACACACACACACACACGTACGTACAAATATAGTTGTTTGTTTAGTCGCTAAGTCCATATGACCCATATTCTGTAGCCTGCCAGGCTCCTCTGTCCATGGGATTTCCCAGGCAAGAATACTGGAGTGGATTGCCATTTCCTTCTATTTCAAAGGCTTGGATTATTTTCCTGTTCATCTAGAACTTTTTGTTTGTCTCACTCTTTTCATACTTTGGTCCATTTAGTTGTCTCCTTATATTTAGCATGCATAAAGTAAACAGCACCCCCTTTCAGATTTAGGCAAAACAAAAACCCTAAGAGTTGTCATCGCCCCCTGCTCCCTCCCTCCACCAAAATAAACCACATTATTTCTGGTTCATATATTCCCTAAGGAAAGATAAGTATATTGAAGTGCTTAAAAAAATCTTTGCATCTAGTTTCTAGTAACCTGGGGGAAAGGTGTGTAATAGTAATAATTTACAGAAGGCATTAAATTTGAAGCAGGTAGCCTCAGAGATTGAAACTAAGATCTGCAGGGATGGTACTGTATACTCATAATACATCTATCCTAAATTCAAAAATGGCCACTACTAATTTTCTTAGAGACTTCACTGTAGCATAATTTTAGTGTTGACAGGCCATCATGTCTTCTAGCTTAAGGCCATCATTTTATATAGATAGAAAATTAAGATTCAGAGAAATTGTCTTTCTCAGATGTTTCACAAATAATCATGGTATATTATACCACAGAGGAATCTTAGAGTTATTTTAATCCAAACGCTTTTTTAATGTTTTACGTTGTAAAGACCTGATCTTGGGAAATACTTTAGTTCAGTTGCTCAGTCATATCTGACTTCTTGCAACCTCATGGACTGCAGCACGCCAGGCTTCCCTGTCCATCACCAACTCCCAGAACTTGCTCAAACTCATGTCCATAGAGTCAGTGATGCTGTTCAGCCATCTCATTCTCTGTTGTCCCCTTCTCTTCCTGCCTTCAATCTTTCCCAGCATCAGGGTCTTTTCTAATGAGTCAGTTCTTTGCATCAGGTGGCCAAAGTATTGGAGCTTCAGCATCAGTCCTTCCAATGACTGTTCGGACTGATTCCTTTAGGATTGACTGGTTTGATTTCCTTGCAGTCCAAGGGACTCTCAAGAGTCTTCTACACCACATTTCAAAAGTATGCTTTCTTCAGTATTCGGCTTTCTTTGTGGTCCAACTCCCATGTCCATACATGACTATTGGAAAAACCGTAGCTTTGACTAGACGGACCTTTGACAGCAAAGTAATGTCTCTGCCTTTTAACATGCTGTCTAGGTTGGTCATAACTTTTCTTCCAGGGAGCAAGCGTCTTTTAATTTCATGGCTACAGTCACCATCTGCAGTGATTTTAGAGCCCAAGAAAATCAAATCTGTCACTATTTCCATTGTTTCCCCATCTATTTGCCATGAAGTAATGGGACTGGATGCCATGATCTTTGTTTTCTGAATGTTGAGTTTTAAGCCAACTTTTTCACTCTCTCTCACTTTCATCAAGAGGCTCTTCATTTCCTCTTTGTTTTCTGCCATAAGGGTGGTGTCATCTGCATAGCTAAGGTTACTGATTATTTTCTCTCGGCAATCTTATTTCCAGTTTGTGCTTCCTCCAGCCTGGCAATTTGCATGATGTACTCTGCATATTAGTTAAATAAGCAGGGTGACAACACACAGCCTTTATGTACTCCTTTCCCAATTTGGAACCAGTCTGTTGTTCCATGTCTGGTTCTGACTGTTGCTTCTTGACCTGCATACAGATTTCTCAGGAGGCAGGTAAGGTGGTCTGGTATTCCCATCTCTTGAAGAATTTTCCACAGTTTGTCGTGGTCCACACAGTCAAAGGCTTTCGAGTAGT